ACGGAATGTACCAGGACAACGTAAGGTAAATAGATAGTTTATTAGCATCCTTGAAGATGAACAACTCTAATGAATAAATTGAGAACTTTGTACTTTCAAAATAATCGATCTTATCAAACATAAAATATCGTGACGAGTGGACTGTATGTGTGTGTTACTTGTTTTTTTTTCGTCAGCATAAGTAGATAAATGAAAACCAAGTCAACTGTTTTGATAGTCTATTAAAAGTTAAACAAGGTGTCTTAGTTTCCATTAGAATGCTTTTGTAGTTATGATGTAAAATAAATTAAAAATTCTATTTAATAACTTATTCACTTCAGGTTTGATAAAACTTCCAGGTACCCTCGGTTTTTTTTCTACTAGAGACATGCAGAAGATAAAAATAAAATACATCAGTAAAAAGTCCAAATTTTGTAGAATCATAATGTACATAGCATTTCAACTATTATTTACTTTGCTATCTTTTAAAAACATTTTCTTCGACAAAACAAAAAGGATGATAAGCGACTTGCACCTATTTTTTTCTCATATAGCTTTACTCTCGACTATGAAAAAGGTAAACAATGTGCTCTGATAGAATACAGCGCCTTCTACAAGATAACATGATTAGTTTTTAAACATAAATTTAATTTCTACTTTAATTATTCTGATTAACTTTTAAATAAACAAACCATATATGAAATCTTCTTGAATATAAATTACTCATAAAATTTTAATATATAAATATATTCAATAAAAAAATTATATGTAAACTTACCCAGTTGTTACGCAAACTCGATGAACAAATGCACAACATATCATAGAAATAAATAAACAAGTTACAACTAAAATATATATATATTTTTTTTTTATTAGAAAAATAATTTTGATAAAAAAGAAAGAATTTTTTTACCTTCAGGAAAAACTCGTGCTTGAAAATTTTGTCCAAATAAATTCATTTCAAAATTACTTACAGCCTAACAAACAGAAAAAGAAAAAGAAAATTTCATACAAATACTATTTCATTTTTTTTTTTTTTTTTTTTTGAATACCGTTAAGAGTGATACAAAAACTAATGAACCCATAAATCCACCAGCAATTGTCAATGGTTGACTTGATGAAAGTTGTGTACGAAATAATTGCATTGATGCAAATAACAAAAGAGCAATAAGAAGTGAGAAAAGAAATGATGATGCATTTGAAGCAGCTAAAATTTTAAAATAATTATTTCCTTCTTTTTTGTTTTCGTTTAAATTATTCTATACTTACCCATAATTTTTAAATAAACACACGTTTATCTACGTTCACAGAGAAGAAAAAAAACAAGAACTACTAGATCTAGAAATACAGAAAGAAAAGAAAAACTCATTTTCCGATCAACAAAGTTTATTACAGATATAGAAACACACGAAAGAAAAAAAATGTTTGTCTTTTTTTTGTTTTTTTATTTAATCTCATATTCATTTGTAAGTTCGAGAGCATGATCCAAGGCATGAAGATGAACAAAAATAACACGAATTTGACGAATATTTTCTCTAAAAAAAAAAAACAAATAACATAATATAAAATCATTAAAACAAAAAAT